AGCCAGGCTTCCTCTTCCCACAGTTCCCTTTGGCCAGGAACAGCAAACCACAGCCAATGGGAATGACCATACCTGCGGATGCTCAGGTAAAAATAAAGCATCTGGTGGCCTGCCAGGGGCTAACCCTGGCAAACCACTTCTAGCCTATAGGATGCTTTTTGCCCACCCCTGCTCTAGCTGGTCAAATCAGATTTTAGTCATAAACGTGTATTTTTACTTTTGTTTTGTTTCTAACCCTTTCTACTTTTGTTCCTTATACTGAAGTCTAAGTGATACTTCGACTTTTTGATTAAGCTTGTTTTTACTTTTAATAGCTTCCGAGGGGTAGCCAAGTTTGTTGTTTGTTTATCCTGTACAGACTAATAGTCTGGTAGCACTTTAAAAAGACTAATAAAACATGTAGATGGTATCATGAGTGTTCATGGGCACAGACCATTTCTTCAGATGACCAGAGTCATCTGAAGAAGTGGTCTGTGCCCATGAACGCTCATGATACCATCTACATGTTGGCTGTGTCTAGACTAGCCAGTTTTTCCGCAAAATCATCTGCTTTTGCGGAAAAACTTGCCAGCTGTCTACACTGGCCGCTTGAATTTCTGCAAAAGCACTGATGATCTCATGTAAGATTGTCAGTGCTTTTGTGGAAATACTATGCTGCTCCCGTTCGGCCAAAAGTCTTTTTCCGAAAAACTTTTGCGCAAAAGGGCCAGTGTAAACAGCAGAGATTTGTTTTCCGCAAAAAAGCCCCAATCGCGAAAATGGCAATCGGGGCTTTTTTTGCAGAAAAGCGCGCGTCTAGATTGGCCACGGACGCTTTTCCGCAAAAAGTGCTTTTGCGGAAAAGCGTCCTGCCAATCTAGACGCGCTTTTCTGAAAATGCTTTTAACGGAAAACTTTTCCATTAAAAGCATTTCCGGAAAATCATGCCAGTGTAGACGTAGCCGTTTTGTTAGTCTTTAAAGTGCTACCAGACTACTTGTTGTTTTTTAAGTTTATCTTTTACTTTTAATAAATGTGAAGACAGTGCTGTGATTGAAATAAAAGTGTCAGTCAACACCAAGTAAATTAATGGGTTGCTGTTTAGTGACTCTTGAAAGAAATTGTCCGGTACTGACGTTAGACTTACCCGTCTGTAATTACCAGGATCACATCTAGAGCCCTTTTTAAATATTGGCGTCATGTTAACTATCTTCCAGTCATTAGGTACAGAAGCTGATTTAAGGTTACAAACCATAGTTAATAGTTCCGCAGTTTCACATTTGAGTTCTTTCAGAATGCTTGGGTGAATGCCATCTGGTCCTGATGACTTGTTACTGTTAAATTTATCAATTTGTTCTAAAACGTCCTCTACTGATACCTCAGTCAGATTTGTCACTTAAAAAGAATAGCTCAGGATTGAGAATCTCCCTAACAGCCTCAGCAGGGAAGATTGTAGCAAAGAATTCATTTAGTTTCTCCACAATGACTTATCATATTTGAGTGCTCCTTTGGCATGTTGATTGTCCAGAGGCCCCACTGGTTGTTTGGCAGACTTCCTGCTTCTGATGTACTTGAAAAACATTTTGCAATTACTTTTGAGTCTCTTGAGTTCGCTACTTCAATGTTCTTTTAACAGTGTCACTTCCTAAAGTTTTTGAACAGGCAAATTGTAAGCTCAAATTCCTTTTTGGCATCATGTTGGTATGCATGATCATCACTTAAGCTTCTAAATGTGTTTAGCTCCAGCTTTGAGCAAGGCATCACTGGCATTCCTCCATCCTCATTGTCCATACACTTCACCCAGGGCTAGCTTATAATTTTCAGAGTCACAAGTTGCTAGAAAGTGAGCTGTGGGACACACTTACCTTTCTGTTCCCATTGCCAGAGCATAAAGATCTGTCCCAGGATCAACTCCACAGTGGGGGCAAGGCCTATTCCTTTTGCTCTTCTGCCAGAGAGGAAAACCATGTGGAAAGTTGCCACAGTTTGGGAGTGGGAAGTCAGGAGGTATTATGTCCTTTTTACTACAGGAGAAATTGCAGGGGACTGCAAATCTTTGCAGGACCTGAACCAATTTTTCAAGCATAAGTTGAGACCTACATATACAATATGCTTAAACCATACATTTTTCCCTAAGTAGGTAGATTGTGGAAAAAAACAGAGGAAATGCACATTGTTGTAATTCTCGTTTTCTTCCTGTTAAGCCATTTTTCTCTTTATGCTCTCAACACATATGCTGAGACTAGAATGGTGGGTATCAAATTGTTTTTATTTTGCTGATCTATTTAAAACTGACAAAGGGAAAAGATCAAAAGTGATCAGCAAGATTTCTCTACAGCACATGCACTGATGCCTAGAGGCCTGTGTCTCCTCCAGCTCCCTGTGCTGCTGGAAATTCAGTTCATGAAATGCTTGAGCAAATCAATTGAGTCAGATGCTCCTCACAATATCCTTTGGTTCCTAAAGGCAAAACGGAGGGGAATTTCTTCTATGCTAAGCAAGCTGCAGGGCTGTCTGGAAAAGAGAGATATGTATAGAGACGACGTGCCTTAGGGTAAAAGGAATCAATTATTTTCTATCTTTTAACTCAGGCTTCCTGGGAGAAGGGCAGCGGTTGGGATCAGGCCATCTGATTTTTAGGTTTCACATTTTTGTTACATTCAGTTTAAGAAATTAAAGGAAATACAACAACAGTGTGGGGTATTTTTTTGCAGGGAGACTGACAGCTCACAACCATCCTCCTCCTAGGTTAAAAACCTCATTTTATAATCTATTTTCTCTCTATTCTGAGAGCTGACTTTTAAAAGCAAACATTCACTTCTAATAGGACTATAGTGACATGTATAATCAGTTATTTTATTTTGAATGCATGTTCTGGAATGGCACTTCAGTGACTGCACACATTTTTCAATGACCTGTCCATAGTAGCACATTGCAGAAGTTCAAACAATCCCTTTGATGGAAATGGGTGATCAGTAGCCAAACACTCATACTTTTACTTCTTGGCTGTTTGATAGGCCATACTGAAAATCTGAAGTTACCGTCTTTGTTAATAATTGAGTTCCACTGACAACTTACCAGAAACAACCCAAATAAATCATGGCTGGCCATGCAGAGAAATTTTTAAAAATCCATGTGTGAGGGAATAATTTTAACTTCACTTTAAAGTTGGATTTAGGTGTTTAAAAACTGTGACCTTTTGGAAGTTAAACATTAAAACCAGAAGCCTGATTCAGTCTTCAACAGTGGTTCTCAACTCGTTTCAGTCCACAGACCACCAGGCCAATCAAAAAATTTTCATGGACTTTGGACAATGTTCCTGTGGACCACTGAAAAAGTTACCATGGACCACCAGTTAAGAACCACAGGAATATAAGATAAGTATGTCTAGCATTAATGTAAGGTTTTTATAGCCTTTTACACCCTGGTAAGGGTCAAGCAGGTCAGCAGACAAGAGAATCCCTTCTTTGATATTCTTTTGAAAGTATTCCCTTCCATTTTAAATAAGTGTAAATAAGGTTCTACATATGTCAGCAAGGCACACATCACTTCCAGGAGGGAGAATCAGATGGGAAGTACATTCTTGACCATGCTCAGATTTCTGAAATCTGGTGGTTAAAGTATGTTATGTATATGCTCTGCTGTTGCTCATAGTTATCAAGCAAGAAAGACTCAAATTTCTGTTTCTCCTTTTTGAGTGTAGCTTTAGGCACACACAGGAGGGAGGCCTATGAGAGCACATTTTAGAGGCACTGAGACAAAATTTCAGGCACTATCTGAGCTCCTTGCAGACTTCATTGTGAAAACAGCTCTCAAATTAGTTGGTTCTGACACTGGCTGCACAGCATCTGGTCAGCGGCCAATGAGGCTGCTTTGAGGCAAGTCACAGGTAAGCGTAGACCTATGTCACCAGTACAGTGCTCTAGTCAACCATTCATTCCCCTTTGTATTGGTTCTTGTGCTGTCAAGAGCTCTTCAATTCTAAGAAATTAAACAATTGCTGAAAATTGCTTTCAGTGATAGGTAGCCCTAAGCCTAGATCGAAGACTGTTTAAGAGTGCAGAGGCAATGCTTAACTATTGCTAGTGAGGGGGCATAATTCAAAGTTTCACCCTACAGGCACAAGTTTCCATTATTTTTCAGGTGGGTATTCCACCGTACTCTGAGGTTCTGTCCCCGTTCCACCAAGGTGCCATCCTTGCGAGTCCTTTTCCTGCTCCTCCCCCTCTTCCCAGCACCTGCCCCTGATCAGCAAGTGTCTGGTGGGTGCTCCAGGCCCAGAGCACCTACTGAGTCAACACTTATGGGCCACTCCCAAACAGGTTGAGTCATGGTCTGTGCTGGGTAGGCCTCCCCATAGCCTCAGTCTCCCTGCTAGAAAAAGAGCAGCTCTTCCCTGCAGTGCTCAGCTGTCATTCTTACCTCTCCCTCACAGCCACAGCTCACCTGGCCTCTGAGACCTCTTAACTGGCTGAGCTCTGCCAGCTACTGTGCAAGGAGGGAGCCCAGTGGCACCTGCACTGAGGCAACAAAAAACCCCACACATGGGAATGGGGCACCCACTCCCTGGAGAGAGTGATTTCCAAATGAGGGTTCTATAATCTGCCTGGCTGGAGACTGTTGCACATCATGCCCCTGATTAAATTCCATCTCCCATAGAGTTCCTGGGCAAGACCAACACACCTTTGGGCAGGCATCCCAGCAGCGACCCCAAGGTAGGCCTAATCCTGCAAGACTCAAGTAGGCACTGAATTACCACCTCTCCCCCCTGCTTCATGGCCCAATTGGCCTAGCTGGAAGATTACTGAGAGTCAGTGTGAGCTTGGCCTGCAAAGGGAAAAAACATTGGGGTGCAAGCTTGCTCTTGCTGTAATCTGCTTTGAAAAAAAATACTGTGCAATCATATTTTGAACCCATACTCCATAACAAAAAAATAAAGGCTCACAGCAATCTGGTAGGCCAGGTGACCCCTTACATGCCCAAACGGACCACTCCCCAGCCACAGATTTCAGTCCATTTTCTTCGAGGACAAAAGTTTTTTATTTCTTTAAAAAAAAAAGTTGAACATTTCAGACATATCCCTTCTCCCTGGGCTACCGTCTTCCCATCCAGCTGGGAATTAAAGCAAGTCTCCCTGCTTCCTGCAGGCCATCTGCCTGAGAGTCACCTGTAAACTGGGTTCTTTCCATTTATTCAGGGATTCCTGCAAGAACCTTTGTACATCCTAGAGATCTCACTTGTAATACAGGTGCAGAGAGCAAATGCTGGCTCAATGTAACTTTCTGGTCTAGAAAACAAAACAATCTAGCTAGGTTTGTGTGTGCAGGAAACTACCCAGACAGAGGTTATGTTATGTTCTTAAATTCTACTGTGCAAATAGCCAAAGGAAATAATGGAACTAAATGTGCATGCTTTATGAAATTAACTGTGTTGTTTTAATGTGGTAATATTGAAGAAACAGAGGGATAGTCAGGAAGTAAAACAAAGATGAGATGGAGGATTCCACCAAGGGTGAAGAAGCAAAGACTCAGATTGCACTGAAGGAAAATAAAGGCATGGGAAGGGCTTAGAACTATGAGCCATATGCATTTTACAGGGTAAGATACAGGGGCAAAAAACGAAGATGGCATGAAACAATGGTCGCAAAAACAGGGCTGAAGGTAGAGAACGTATAGAGATTCTGTGCAGTAATAAAAGTTTAAAATAGGAATGACGAGAAATCAACTGCAATGATGCTAGCAGAATTAGCACACAAGTACAGGGAAAAGAGGAGAGAAATGAAGCAAGAAGGGGGTTAGTAAGACTTGTCAATACAGCAAGACAGGGTGAGAATGTTGAGAAAACACAAAGTAGAATGTGTTACATTTTTGTTCATAGAGGAAAAATAGGACTGGTGTAGGGGAGATGGAAACAGAAGAAAATTAGGAAAGTTTAAGGTGGGAAAAGGAAGCAGCAAAATAACAAAGCAAGGGCAGAAAAAGTAGTGGGAAAACAAATGTGGCACAGAAAATTCACAAAAGCAGGCAAAAAGGCAATATTTCAGACCATACAATTATATATAGATAGGACAATGATCAGTACAAAAGTCACCAGAATGCACATGGAATTTGATTCTGAAATAATCCCTGCAAGTGACTAGCTATAAGACAATGCAACCGTCAGCATGGCAGTTTGCGGTATGCAGATTGAAGTTATCTTGTGATTGCAATTGACTAGAGGCCAATTAGAGGTTGCTTCAGGAAGAACAAAGTTGGAAACTTGAAATTCAGATGACTAGAAAAGAAAGCCTAATGGGTTCCCTGCAGTTGGGCTTTTTGTTACCTCTACAAGTTTGCAGGAGCCAGCACTTTACAGCATGTAAGAGTATCATGCTGTAAGCTGCCAATACAAATACCTCTGCATTTGAGGAGATTCAGTGGGGAGGGAAGAGATTTCCTTTATAGGATTCTGTAGTTCAAATGACTGTCTGCATTTTGGTATTTTCTATACTATTGGCTTAAACATTATCAAACTTCTCAAGTTAATTTATTTGAATACTTTTGGTAATGGAAAAATGGAACATCTATCTAGCATACCGACAAACATATTTCCCTTCATAAACTTTTCTGAAACAATTATACTAAGTAAAACCTGAAGTTTTATCTAAAAGAATTTGTAATAAAGATTGTGGTAAATGGGACTATAACAATTAACGGAACAATCACATATTGGTAGAAGTAGGATGTGCAGTGTTTAAATAAGCCTCTATAAACAAAGCAGTCATTAACCAAGTCATCCGAACATTCTAGAAAAGTGTGTGTGTTTATACGGAACTGCATTATTTAAAACTTTTAAACCAGAAATAAGGCAAGTACTGTTTTAACAACGTTTAAATTAACTTATTTCGGACAAGTCCAATAGCAAGTTTTCAGACTGAAGTGACAGTCTGTGTATTATGGCTACAACAGTCTTTAGTCTGCAAGAATGAAGTTTTCTAGTCATGATAGAATGCTAGGAGTAGTGTTTTCCAGCTCCTTCTCTTGCAAGTCTATCAGCCGCTTCATTTCCTCTAAAGCCAGCATGACCGGGAACATGCATCTGTTGAGAGATAAGTCTAAAGTTATTTGACTCAACATACTATCAAGATGCAAACAGTCAAAAGACACCACACCAAATCCATGAGATCTGATCTCTGGTCAGTCTTTATTAATTCCAAAGTATAACAGCACCTCTCTAGACCATCAAGTTTCTGAGGACAGGACAAGGAGTAATGGGCTTAAAGTGCAGCAGGGGAGGTTTAGATTGGACATTAGGAAAAAATTCCTGTCAGGGTGGTCAAATATTGGAATAAATTGCCAAGGGAGATGGTGGAATCTCCCTCTCTGGAGATATTTAAGAACAGGTTAGATAGACATCTGTCAGGGATGGTGTAAGTGGAGCTTGGTCCTGCCTTGAGGGCGAGGGGCTGGACTCGATGACCCTTCTGTGTATAGTAGGGTCTCTCACAGGAAGGATTCTTTTAACTGGTTCCTATCTCAGAGTCAGAGCCTCATTTTATTTATTAAAAAGTAGGTAAGCCCCAATAAGCAGATATCCAAGTCAATGCAATTAACATACATTAGCAATTATAAAACAAAACCTTTCCAACCCTAAGCCATTCCCCTCCCCAGAAGTCTGAAAGTGCGGGGAACAGATGGGCTCTGCATTATGTCCAGAAAGCTGCACACAGATCCTAACAGTGGAAGAGAAAGGGAGTAAAAAGTTTAAAAAACCTATCATGGAGAACATTTTGCCATAAATGGGTGGAGGTTCTAAAAGGAGTACAACAGCAGCACTATAATACCAGTAGACAAAGTATTTGAGTAACCATTTAGGTCTTTCCTAGCTATAAATCAACACTCTGAATGCCATCCTTAAATCCTGGAGAACTGGCTGCACATGCTGCTAACATGAACAAGTTTGAAGCTAGTACAAAATACTGCTCTTTTTTCAAGTGGTCTCAAAATGTACAGCACCTGCAGCAACATGTGTCTGTCTCATCCCATGGCAACAAAGGTATGGATAGTTGTGTTGAGATCTAGACTAGAAGTAAAAGTTATTACAGCAGTTGCAGATGAACCTGGAGCAGCCCAGGATTTATTAGCTCAAATTGCCCTATGTAAAAGAGGTAAATTACCTGTCTCATTCCAAGGGCATGTAATGTTAGCCACCATTTCTGGCCTTTTCCCAAACCCAACAACATTCTCAGCTCTTAGGTGCCAAGTTCAGGAAATGCAGCACTGTTTGATTTCCGACTACCACAGGATAGTACAGTCATGTGTTTTGGTAAATTGCAATAGTTCCATCAATTTTATTCTCAATCTAGTACTATTAGAGTGAATGTAGTGGGGAAAACCTATAGGATGGGGGATCCCTCCCTGAAGTACCAGAAAACAGTGCTCAGTCACCTTCAGATGCATTTTCTGCTGTATTTGGAGGCGTATTCTGTTTATAGCTGAGGGAAGTTACAGAAGACAAAAAACATTAAGTTTTAGTTCAACAACGTTTGCTGAACTGCTGCATGAAGCTTATTTCAATTAGTGAGACAAGGTAGGGCATATAAAAATCTAGTCAGTCTTTAACATCTTGAATAGACTGCCTCAGTATCTGAATCACAAATGTAAGTACAAAAAGGGAAGGAACTTCCTTTTGGAAATCCCTCATGGGAAATATAAAGCCTCCATTTATGTTCACTATTGTTTTGTAGGGATTATTTAATGGTACACTTCCTTGGATTTTGTTTCACTAGCCATAAAGGCAATGGTGCAGAGATTTGATTTGGATTAGGTATCTCTGGAAGAAACATTTAGCTTACAGGCAAATTCCAAATAATTAGAAATGTAGCTATGGGGACAAAAAGTTCTTCTCAACGCCGCATTTATTTCTGCTAGAAGAGTTAAAGATTACAGAATTCATTCATAATATAACCACTAGTTCTGAGAAAAAAAAGTTACTGTATCCTATTTCTACCTTTCAGATTGCTCTCAATTTGGTAAGAGCTTCTATCATGGGTATTTTAAGAATTGCCATATTCATAGAAAAGCCTTCAATGTACCACAGAAAATCTGAGTTTGTATTGTATCCTCCTAATTACCAATACATATCAGTTGCACTAAAGTAAAAATTTTACTATCTTAAATTGCACATCCTGAAGTATGATTAAGATTTGATATCTTACATTTTTGACCTTCATCATTTACCATCCCTATTAGTTTCTCAGTATTTTAGTTTAAATCTGAGCTTTGCTTTTTTCTGGAAATACCCTAGATTTAATAGTGAGGGACTTTTCTTGGTGGACAATATGTGAGCAAAAGTTCAGGTACACTGTTTGATAGGACAGTAGATCCTTTTATGTGCATTTCTTAAATTATTACTTGGTAACAGGATCTTGATGATTATTTGGATGAAGCCATTACTTTTTCAGGTACTTATGTAGATTCATGGCAATTTTAGATTTATTAAAATACCTTATAATGCACTGATTTGTGAACCTGGAGTTAGTAGTGTTTACTCCGTCGCAATTAATAAAACCAAATTACTCACCCACTGAATTTGCATTCCTTCTGAAAGCTTATCAAGTCTTTCAAAGTCTTCTTTATTTATTACATCTTTTCCTGTGCTTGTTCTCCAGCCATTACTTTTCCAGTTGTCTACCCAACTTGTTATACCTATGGAAAAACAAATTAATTTTTTATTGGAAGATGTAACTTGTAATTACAAACTTTAAATAACTCAGCAAGAGTCTAAGTAACTTATAACTACTGCATTGAAAGACTATGAGCATATCTTAAAGGGAAGTGAATGCTAGTGGAAATGGGGTAAGTTTAGAAGTTAATAAAAACAAGTTAAAATTACTTAGAAAAATTAAATGTCTTCAAGTCACAGGGCTTGCCAAAGAGAGAGATGTTAGTTTCTCTTACAAGTTCCCATCCAGAGCTTGTTCTTAGATTACAACAAAAATTAAGGAGGATTCTGGGATTTAATATGTTAGAAATCATCTGCAAAGAACACTGTACAATTGTGCCTTTTGCTTTTTTTAAATGACAAGAGAGCTACAGGTTTTTTTCCACCATCTACTTTCATGTTAGAAGTTCAGGCTATGCCTATATTCCAAAATTATAAATCACAATAAACTGAAAGCTAAGGAACTAAGGGGGGGTGTCTTTTAGAGAACACATGAACGCCACTATTAGTTACTGGAGGAAAAATTCAACATTCTACCCCTATTATATACATTGGGAGACACCATCCTCCAGCAGTTTTCCATTTAAACCAGGGAAGAACAGACTTGAATTTCTAGAGGAAAAAACAAGCAGAACAATCTTAAAGTTTTCAAGTTCTGTTTTTACACCTAAGCAGAAGTGGGGATAGGAAGGAAAGATGCAGATAGCCATTTTCCTAATAATACTTTGATGGGCACTTTTCAGATATGCTGCCTGGCTGTGTCTAGACTGGCATGATTTTGCGGAAATACTTAACGGAAAAGTTTTTCCGTTAAAAAGTATTGCCGCAAAAGCGCGTCTAGATTGGCAAGGATGCTTTTGCACAAAAAGTGCTTTTGCGCAAAAGCATCCATGGCCAGTCTAGACACAATTTTGTGCAAGAAAGCCCAATCGCCATTTTAGCCATCGGGGCTTTTTTGTGCAAAACAATTCTTCCCTGTTTACACTGGCCCTCTTGAGCAATTATTCTTGCACAAGAGGGCTTTTTCCCTTAGCGGGAGCATGAAAGTATTTGCTCAAGAAGCACTGATTTTGTACATTACAAAGTCAGTGCTCTTGTGCAAATTCAAGCGGCCAATGTAGACAACTGGCAAGTTTTTGCGCAAAATCTTGCCAGTCTAGACGCACCCTTTTGGTATGAAAATGCATACACCACCATTCTGCATATTGCATTCTGTGCTTCTGCCAGAACATCTTTTATTACAGAGATTCTGTATCTGATATTTTCTCTATCAATTGCTAAACTAGGTATCTTGTCTATTCCAGAGTTTAATACAAACAATGGATGTGATTTTGGCAAGCTATGCTGGGTGTTTAAGAGTCCTTTTCCCTGCTATTACTGGGAACTGAAATGAGTTAGAC